TTGTGAGGGGCTCCCTGGGACCAAGCAGGGAGCAGAGCGCCTCCTAGACATGCCAGAGGGCAGAGTCAGCAGCAGTGAGTGAAGCTCACAGGCACACAGTATGCAGCAGCAGGGTCACCACCTTCCGCACACTGCGGTGGGGAGACTTGTTGAAGGGAAGCAAAATGTCTCATATTCATTGACAAAGAAGATTTATTTATGCATATAGAACTGAGGTACAGCCCAGAGGTCCAGGAGTGGTGATAGGATTCACCAGAGACAGAGTGGGGAGCAGCACAGGCAGATCTACGCTGCTAAGGGGAGCAGCGGGTGGTTCAGGAGAGGTATGCTGTGCCCTGCGGATAACCTGATAACTGCTGGGGCCAGGGATTGAACTTGTGCTGAAATGGCTGCGATTAGCTTCATAATGCTGTGCTTCAACCCGTTGTGCTACCAGGGAGGGTCCTAAAAAAACCTTTTAAATGAACCTGTGATTTAACCCCCAACATGTCTATGTATTTTGAAAATAATGATAGAAGACCCAGGTCCTGAATGACAGTTTGTTGAACAAAGCTGAATGTGCACACAAATCCATAGCCTTATGTAATGCTGCCTCATCCCCACCAGGGGCCGCTGGCGGTCTCCTGAGCTAGTCTCCCAGCCTCTGCTGGCCAGGGAGGCCACCACGGAGCTGATGGTGGGGAGAAAGCTGGGGGGGCAGGTGCAGTGGCCCGAGAGAAACTCTGGCAGCCTGGGCGGACCCAGAACCACTCACTATCCCCCACCCCCTTCCTAGACCGCACAGTCATGGCAACCTGTGTACCAGGTGACCAGACCTGTTCTGGTACAAACCCATTCGTCAATCCAGGGTGGGCTGGGAAGGGAGGTGACTCCTTTTGGTCCTGCACTGTTGACATCCCTGGTGGGGGGGAGAGGGTGCTTGTGAGTGGTTGACAGGTGGGAGTAGGCTAAACTTCTGTGTAGAACAGCTGTTATATTTAAGGCTGCTCTTGACCTTGGGAGGTATGCAGCCCACCATAGTTCACACTGGGAAGAAGAATGCAGATGATAACCTCAACCAAATGATATTCTGACACTTAGAATCCTGACCCTGGGCATGGCAGTTCCTCTTCTGAGCTGATACAAGCCTTCCCATAGAGGCTTGTCATAGTGTTGAAAGAGAGAATAACAGAGATCGAAATTGAGCTGTAGTGGCTGCAGATAGCCTCATAATGCTGTGCTTTAACCTGTTGCGCCACTAGGGAGGGCCAGGAAATAGTTTTTTTAAAGGCAAAGATTTATATGATCTAAAGAGAAGCCAGAGTGTAAATATTTTTTATTATTATTATTTTAAGTTAAGAGCGCAATAAGATGGACTTTTGGTGAAGTTGATTTGTTATGCTTAAATCCCCCTTTTCACATGAGATTTGCATGCTGGCTCAAAGAATTGGAATATTATTCTTTGGGCATTTGGGAGATATTGAATGTTTGTGAGCTTAGAAATGACAAGACCACAGCAAAGCCAAGGCATATGGTGTAGTTCCAGTGGAGGGGAGAAAGAGGAAGAGCCTTTGGTGAAGTCCTTGCAATGGTCTGAACCTACTTTGAATCAAGATGGTGACAGTGGGAGAACAGGGGAGAAAATGCAAATGGGTGGTACAGGAAGACCCTCAGCATGTGACCACCAAACTGGAGATGGAGGGAAGCTGTGAAAGATGGCCCTGGGGCTCTTCAGGTGGGTGGTCTTCTGACAGAGGAGCAGGAGGAAGGCTATCCAGCGAAATGAAGATAGTACACATTGAGTGTGTGACTTTTAAATGCTGAAACAGGGTACACTGCTTGGAGAAAAGATGAGGGGAGGAGGCCCTTGGTTCCCCTTGTCAAGCTTGTGCACAGGCAAGCTCCCAGCACAACCCAGGGAGGCGCTGTCCCCACTAGCTGTGGAGGGCACTGTCTGCCTCTGAGCGCTCTGTGTGGGGTGGACCCTTCTAGCCGCAGGGAAGCAGCCTGGTGTTGTTTGAGCTCTCGCTTCTGCCCACCGTGACTCATCATGGTCTCTCTCCTGTCACAGCTACCGCCTGTGTGATCCTTCTGAACAAAAGTTATATGGAAAATCACCTCTGTTTGGACAGTATTTTGTTCTGGAAAACCCAGGAACAATCCAAGTGGGAGACCCTGTGTACCTGCTGGGCAAGTAATAGGGTCATAGACCTGAACTGATGCCTTGAGAAAAGCCCTTGAAGAAACCAACACTTGAGGAGCCAGGTTTTGGAATGAACACCGCAGCCTTTTCTTTAGAAAGGATTTTTGCCAAGATTTCCCTTTTTTTTGGACTTTTGTCTCAGGGCTTCTGGGATCCCAGTACAAAAAAACAAAGAAGTAACTTAGTAAAACTTCTGGAAGCTCCTTAAATGAGAAGAAGGGTTTCTGAAAACTCTATTAAACTGTGATTGTAGGATAATTATTCTTCACTCACCTACCAGAACATTAACTTCCATCATCTTATTTACCTCTCCTTAGGGAAAGAGAAAAAGGATGAGTGGGTGACCAGGAGGAATGTTCTGGAATGTGTTAATGTCCCCATGTTTGAGGAATACAATGAAAGCCAAATATCTCCCTCTGTAAGGCTGGAAATATATTTTGTTTCACTCCTTGAGCCCTGGGCTTAGTTTTGAAGGGGCACCAAGAGCCTGCCCATCAGTTAACTGAAGATGTTCACTTTTCACCTCAGACAACTTTCATACATATGAACTTTTTTTTCATACCGCTTTCATACATCTGTTGCTTTTCAGATAGTATTGGTGAGGACTTGATGCATCCTTCATGGCATGCATTGCCTCTGGGCTACAGGACAGCAGAAATGTCAGGGTAGAAAATCAACTCATAAATCAATAAAACTGGGGGGACAAGATGAAAGCCAACTTATGAGAGCAGTCTTGGTGAGACTCTGACATGGGACATGAGAAAAGCAAGACAAGCAAGCCCTTCCTTGCCATGAAACAAAATATCAAGATTGTTTCCATCATGATCCCAAAATTCCCAGCATAGGAGTAGTCTGAGGCCTGAGATGCTGTTTGATGTTGCTCAGGGACCAAAGAACAGGATGGGTCTTGACAGCTGCTGCCACCTAGTGGCCCTGAGTGGTGGCTCAGCCCATGTAGTTGGAAAACTTGAGAAATACTGGTGGCTGGGTATTAGTTGTCGATGCTACACAAAGTTGCCTAGAAGAGAAGCAGGTGTTGTGCCAGGTGTTCTCTGCTGGCCTGCCATATGCACTGGGTCTCCTAAAGCGCCCAGGAGGGACTGTGATGTCGTGGATCCTGCCTGGTCCTCCATGACAGAATGTTCCTCCCCAGATTCAGGTGAAATGGTGCTGAAATCCATGGATGACAATGAACATGATAGTGTGGGCTGACAGAAAACACTGAAAATCTTTCAAAAGAGAAAAGGAAACCATGCCAGTTGGTCTAAAAACCAATATTTAATTTTCCTACTGATTGACTGATGTAACTCTTCAGAACTTATGAAATATGTCATTTGCTCTTTTTTTTGCCTTTGATATATTAAAGAGCTGACTGAATTATGAAAAAGTGTTTCAAAACTGTAAATAAAAGGAAGTGACTTTGACTAGTTTCAGACTTACTACCTTGTTGGCTCACCATGTGCTATTACCCAGTTTCAAGCGGTTTAGGTGAAAGTGAGGGTTGGCAATTCTGCCACCTGCCCCGTGCTGGTCTCTTCCATGGGCCAGCTCACCAGCCCTCCTGGGCAAACAATCGCCTTTAAAGGGCTATCAGGAGAACTTGTGTTTATCCAAAAGCTGTGTATTTTATACTTCAATTTTATAAAAGTCGTCATAGTCACTGGAATGTAGTTTAGCTTGGACATAAAGGTCATGTGTGATTTCTAGACAGTGAAGAACTGCAATTTGTCTTCTGCACACTTGGTGTGATGTGGAGAATGAAGGCAGTAGGTCATTTGTCCATAGCCTTCCCAAGCAGATCCACTGTAGTTAGAGCGACAGGTACATGGAGGCAAACATCACTCCAACAAGGAACATTATACAGGAGCCTAGGGACCACTTGGCTATGGGTGGTCTGAGAGCTCCATCTTTAGAGACACTAAGGCTGTGTAGGGGACTCTTTCTAGATATTTAGCATTAACACAAGCCGAATGCCTGACTTGGATTATTTTTTTAAAGCCTATTAGAAAATTAATAGGCTTTCTTTTTTTAAAAGGTTTATTTATTTTTGCATACAGAATTGGGGTATAGGCCAGAGGTGCAGGGGCAATGAGAGGATTCACCAGAGTGAGAAGAAAAACAGGCAGGTTGATGAAGTACATTGAGTGGAGCAGCAGGCAGATCAGGAGAGGTCTGCCATGCCATGTGAGTTACCTCCCTGACCGAGGATGGAATTCACACTGAAATGGCTGCAGTCAGCTTCACAGTGCTGTGCTTTAACTGACTGTGCACCTGGGAGGGTCCCTGACTTGGATTTTTAAACTGTTGCAAGTGGTCACATCCACTTTCTTGATGACACAGACTGAGTGGGCCACACCTCATGCCAGTCTTTCACTCCCTGCATGGCAGAAGCCGCCTGGTGGCGGAGAGACTCTTGCTCCTCAGAGTGTGTGGGAAATATTGGAAGAATAGAGGGTCCTTTAGCAGGTAGAGTCTCAGAGTAGTTGCCCAGCCTTCTGTCAGTGAGATTTAAAAGTCATCTACTTTTGTTTATTTTATATTTAATGAGAGGGTTCACACTACAGTCAGGCCTGATGTCTTGTTTATTTTGAGTACCAAATGTTTGCACACAATTCCATTTGAAATATAGGAGCAGGAGTATAGGTCCTCAGGAAGGTCTCCTCCTGGGTGTGAGTGATGGGCGTTGGAGGGCAGGCTGAAACCCTCTTCGCTGGGACTTTCATTCTGGGTGTCAGCTTCATGCAGCTACCACCGTGGAGCTACAGATCATATGGGTGACCTGAAGCGAGGGAGGGGACTGATGGGAAAGACTTTGGGCAGTCTGCTCAAGGCCCACTTTCTCAGCTTTTCTACAGAAAAGTTACAGATTTGCTACCAGGAGAGAGAAGAGGCCACCTAGACAATAAGTTCAGAAAGACATCCAGGTGGGCTGATGGAAGTGATGTCAATGAGGAACACTTCCTTCCCCTCGGTGATGTGGGAGTCACACCTCCCTCAGTGATGTTGGTTACCCCCTCAATGATGTGGGGAGCCCTTCTCCTTCAGTGTTGTCAGGGTCACACCCTCAGTGATATTTGGTCACTCCTCCCTCTGTGATGTGGGGGACCTTTCCCACCCTTCTCTCCTCCCACAGGGATGTGATGTGAGGGCAGAAGATGCACTTGTGGATAGCTGCCCATGTGGCCAAACTCAGGAGAGCATGACTAGCAGGTGTCTGTGAGGCTGTCACTGTGCATCATGGCAGCTAATTGCCCAGATGCTGAGAGTGTGACAAGTGAAAACAGCCACGATGGTGGATCCATAGATCATTCACAGGAACCCCGAGCCTCTCAGACCAGCCCTCTCTCCACCATAGTGTAGTCAGAGTATTGGAGTCAGGCCCCACCACTGTCCTCTCCTAGCTGCCACGAGGTCCAGAAATGTGGAAGTTTGCCTGTGAAGGAAAGCTCCTAGCAAAGAATTCCATGGGCCAGAGCTGTGGGAAGTCCTGCATGTCTCACTGTTCTTCAAAGGCCTGCAGCTGGTGAAGGCTGCCAGCACCTGCAGAGAAAAGCACCACCCTCCCCAAAGCTCTCTTTTGGAGAAAATTTGCTCTGACCCACCTCTAAGGGAGCACTGTCCAGGGCAAGAAGGGTGACCAGCAGGAGGTGCCTTCGTGGGAAGGTTCAAGAAGTTAATGTGTGGAGGCCTCTCGGAGATACTTCCTTTTGTCTTCTTCCTGGTCCCTCTGACTTAGGTGGGAAGGTGGGCTGAGGCTAATGATCTGATGGTAAGGACAGGGTGTCTTAGACCAGTTCTCCTGTTACAGGATGAGGGTGAGGTAGTCCCTTTCTTCGTACTCACTTTCCAAACCTGCCCGTGGATGGAAGATGGGTCTGGGCTGGGAGTGGGGTGACAAGTCCTGACCTTGCAGCATTACCTGGAATGCTGGCAGCAGGCTACCTACTACACCAGGGAGGCGCCATCTTTCTGTCTGCTGGCTTTCCCTTTCCCTCCCCTTCCTATTCTCAGTGAGAGCTGCTCCCACCACAGGAATCACATACACATTTGTTCTCTTCATACTGTGACCTTCTATCACAAAGAACGGACCCTGTTGGCTTCTCCATCTTCACAGAAAGTGGAAAGGTATGTTATGATAGTATCTGAAGTTACCTCACTTCAGGCCAGGGGAGGATCAAGCTCAGCATTAAAATGTTCTTGGAATCGGAATGACAAAAATGTGCCTGCAGTAAACCTTTCCTAGCTTGCGCTGCCTTGTCTTAGTGGAAGAGGCCCAGGCCTTATTTTTAAAAGCTCCTGTTCTTCCTGAAAACATAGCTGATAGGGGACAACTGGGGCCTCCTGAGCTAATAATGTGGGAAGACCTGCAGACAGCATCATGTTCTTCCTAGCTCAGAAACAGGAGTTGCCTTCAGTATATCATTAGTCTTCCCATACAGGTTATGGGTTATAGGAAATAACAAACAGGCTGAAAATTGACTTCCTATCCTGATCTTCCAAGGCTGATCATGATTGGTAGGTCAAGTTTCCGCATTTGGCTCTTGACCAATCCTGGTCAAGGGTAAATCACTCTGGTGGTCCACAGTCATGCTCTACCTTGATATGAGGTACCTGATAGAACATACCAGACTGCTCTTCCACCAGCTTCCTTCCTGAAACCCATGGTCCTTGACACTTTCCCATCATTCTCTCTACCATCTCCACCTGTCCCTGGCCTGTGTCTTCAGTTATCTGGATACTGGTTCCAATAGAGTCCTGTGGGATGGAGGCCAGGTGCCATGCCTGTTTCTCTTTTTGGGATTTGCTGAGAGTATTGTAAATAAAGTAGTGTAGTCATGATAATTTCTGATATTCATCCAGTAAAGTCTCAGATAGATGGCATTGGCTTGGGCTAGAGAAGGACCACCGCTCCACCACTTGCCCAGCAATTAAAGGAGCTTGTTAGTCAGAGGCCCAGGACGGCCGAGGACAGCTGGAGAGCTCTTCTTTGCAAGCAGCTCTGGTTAACATCAACCAGGAAAGCCCTTTGTAAACACATGAATAATTGATCGTGCAGCGCTCACATAGCTACCGAGGATCTGAGCCCCGATGACTCATCTGCAAGCCATTCCTGTCGTCTGGATGCCATAACATTGGAGAAATGATGATTGTTTCTTGGAGATTCTTCTGTGGCCAGAGTTGCCAAGACCCAGGCTGTAATGGTTTGTTATGATGACCTTTGTTATTCCATTAGGCTCAATTGCTTTAAAAAATGATGTGTGCATACTTTAGGAACGATTTTACCCTTTATGTTGACCTGACATCATAGTTTATATTACACACTGTATTAATGACAGAGGAGTGTTTTCATGTCCCAAGGACAAATTTTAACAACCATAATCTGCCCTTAGTCATCATAAATATAAATGTATTGGTCAAACAGATCTCGTTAATGTGGCCAAGATAAATGCAAGTCTATATTTTAAGGCCGTTGAAGTCCTAGAGAATGAATTTATTTGGAGCTTTTCTTGGGGCTAAGAGATCTTGTATATGTGTTATCGGAAGGCTGAGAAAATGAACATTTCCCTCTCTGGTTTTGAATTGGACAGATATAAACGTCTTGGGGATGTCAAGCGAGATTGTTCTCATAGTTCTGGACACCATTAGTGAATCTTAGTTCTTAAAGCCATATTCTTCTCATGATGCTCATAGGGCTTTGGAAAAGAAGCAAAAATTTCATGTCCTAGCCATACGCTGTTCAACTACATCTTCCTGAGTTACACTGTGAATTTTTTAATCCCCCCTCCACCTCCATGTCTTGCTTTCTATAAATTGTGTCCCTTCTCTGCAGATGTGTGTGTGACATTTTGCTTCCCGCAGCTGCCGAGGGATGTGCGGCCCACGCTGTTTTGGGCATGCGCTGTAGGGCAGGCTGACCATCGCTTTCCTCTCCTTTAGGAGGCGCTCAGCCAGGTTGACCTTTGGAGGGTCGAGGTTTTTAAACTTCTCAGGCAGAAAGTAAATCCTTATTTAAGAAGCTCTTTTTGATTGTGTTTATTGTGAGACACAAAATATGTTTGGGCCCTCCCTGGTGGCACACAGTGCAATGAAGCTATCCAAAGCCACTGTAGCATGAGTTTGATCTCCCACCAGGGAGGTGACCTACATAGTACAGCAGAGCTCTCCTGTCTCACCAGCTGCTCTCCTCAGCAGTGTATTTCAGTCAGTTTGCCTGTTCTGCTCCCCACTGGTCTGGTGAATCCTCTCACCCCCTGCATCTCTGGCATGTACACCAGTTCTTGTGTGCATAAATAAATAAATCTTAAATATATATATGTGTGTCTGTTTAAAGGGCATCCACTAACAACTATAAACCAGAGATATTCTATGGGGGAGGAGAGGAACAGGATCAAAACTGGGGTGGGTAGAGTGCAAGGGACTATGGGTGAA